GTGTTGTTTGTTATTTCTTACAGTCCCTGCATGTGAGAGGCCAATGTGGCTCCTTGGCAGGCTGCCCGCCTTTCTAGGGCAGCTGAGATGTGGGCAGCCTACCCCCAGTTTTAAGCTGGCAGAAGGGAAGAGGCGTACTAAGAGTCACTGAGGAGAAGGAAAGTTGGAGGAGGCTTTGCAGAGTTTGCCTTTGTAACGTGCAGCCTGCTTTTGGGCTTTGTCTGGATCTCTGGGCTTTCCTTGAAGGACCAAACAGATGAGCAATACAACAACTCATGGTGAGCCATTCAGCTCCAGGCAAAGCCCACGGCCTTGGAGGAGATCATGCTCCCATGACTTTAAGAGACCTGCTCAGGTCTGATGTTCATTCAGTCTCTGCCAGAGCCTCAGCTGGAGGGAGAAGTATATCCATGGGGTCTCCTCCATGTTATCAATTAATCTACCCAAGATGGTGAGCATTGCCAAGATATACAAGCATTTGGGGGCATTTTACTCTATAAATTCATTTAACAACTCTATTGATTACTGAACGACTCACTAGAACAGTGGAGTCTTGAAATGAAAGAAATGCTTGTCTTTTAACTATCTCAAATAATGATTAAAAAAGATAGTATTTTTAAAACATTATTTGAATCTAACCACACGAAGCTTGCTTTGCTTGAAATTTAATTTCTTCTTCAAAGCATAAACCAAAGGAATAAAATTTTTTTCTAAGCCTCTCCTTCCCCAAGCCACATGAGTGAAAGTGTCTGGCTTGCCCTTTTTCATGGAACTTATGCAAAATTCATAGTTTCCTTGGCTTTGACATAAACAATTAAGAGTATCAGTCATTTCCTGCTTGCCTGTTGATTTTGTTCACAGATCATCTTCAAAACAGTGTCTGTAAGACCATGGCACACCCGATGAGTGAGAAATAAAAAAAAAAAAATTACATGGTTACTTCAGACTTTTACTCCAACCATTATGAGCATCCTGATTTAAAAAAAAAAAAAAAAAAAAAAAAAAAAAAAATCATTAAATGGTTACTTTAGACTTTTACCCCAACCATTATGAACATCCTGATTTAAAAAAAAAAAAAAAAAAAAAAGAAAAAAAAATCATCTATTTCTCAGGATCTCTGGTCCAGTCAGGGAAGAAAATCCCTTACCTAGGGCCTTCCCTGGACGTACGCTTGCATATATAGGTGTAGAGGTCTATGATATGTATTGGCTCCTCTGGGTCTATGATATGAATTTATTCTTTTGAATAAGTGATTTCTTTTTCATTAGCACTTGGACCAAAATTTCAGAGGTGGAAAACAGTGACAAAGAAATAGCTTAAAAATATTGTGTGTAGGCTTCAGAAAAGTCCTTCAAAACTTCTAGAGTACAAAATTAGTAGCTGTGATGTCCACTGATAAAAAATAGTGCTCTATCAAAAAAAAAAAAAAAGCGTTTCTTTGTTGAGCTAAAAAAGTAGCAAATTGTACTACTGTTTTAAAAAGACTGATGAAAATCAATTCTGTTTCAGATTTCGTTTTTGCATCACATCGATTTGTTCTCTTTAAACACAAGTATTTATTTTTCTTCCTTTCTTAAATTGTGTTCTAAATCAATAATCACCAATCTGTTTGAGATTAACATATTTTGTGCCTCTTAACACCTTCTTGTCTAAAACTTGTGTGAGAATACCATTTTTTGTCCGGACAACTTAGAATCCAACTTTTTTTAGTATTTTGTGGGTTATGACCCTTTCCTGTCTTTTAAAAGTTTACTTTTTTAGACCTGAATGTGCTGGCTTTTATTCTGCTCATACGTTGAACCGTTCCCTACTGTTTTTATACAGCTCGGTTTAGTTTGGGGCTGTCTGGGTATGAGAAGCTATCACTGATTTAATTATATCATGATGTTTTATAATTTCAGAAAGTTCGTTTTCACTCTAGCACTCGAAATACAGAAAACTTTTCTGGGAAGAACGCTTATAACAAGCCCACAAGATATCAGGTAATCACAGCATGAAAGCAGGAGCCAGGGAAGGGATCTGTCAGTGAACAGCTCTTACCTGCAAGGGTCATGTTTGCTTTCTTCCAGTCGATGCCATCCTGTGATGTGCCGGGCTGTGGCTTAGCACGGGCACAGGACCGGGCTGGGGCACTTCAGAGAAAAACGCAGCCTATCACCCATGGAAATACACCTGGTGTTAGCATTTGTCACGCTAATTCCACTCAAGGGTATTTAATTTAGTACAAGAAATACCATTCAAGCTTTAATCCTCCAGTCTTGCATTGACAGCATTTCATTTGTCATGACACAGCATCATCCGTCCAGCCTTTGCATTAACATTTGCATGTGCTTTCTCTGGCAGTGACTTGTCCTACCAAGCTAAACCTGCAATGTGGTATGGTTCAAAAATACCTGTGGCTGCAGCGGTGGCACGGGGTACCCCAGCCATCACAGGAATTAACGCAACTGTCTGTCTCAGCTGGAGTGTTTGTGACAGCAGATGTATTATTTCATGTGCACACATGTGTAGTAGGGTAACACAATACACAAAATGTAGCCCACAGGGGTTTTTCCTTATTTTTTAACATAAAGTGAAAAGGAATCTGATGGCAAGTGATATGTTTGAAGGAACTGACATTAAAGAAAGTTGAGGAAAGTAATAGTTAAACTGGACAAAATGCAAAATGGCAGTTCTAGAATTGGTTTGTCTTGTGTTGGCACAGCATCCAGCACAACGGGCTCCTAGGCTGTACAGCAGACCAGTAATAAATTTTTACTGGTTTTAAAAGTTTTCCAGGCTTTTGTGCCAGGATAGAAGGCATGTCTAAAAATCTAAGTTAGAAATAGGATACATTCACTCTGGCATCTGGAGTTAGTTGGTTTGATACCATCAAAGGCAAAGGGAAGAGATGATTGTGTCACGCTCAAAATAGCATTTCAGCATTTCTGACGTCTTCCCATCCATTCAAACCTACAGGTAATGGAAAAATGTGTCAGTCTCTGCTGGACTCGTTCTCTTCCTGTAGCTATTATTTCTGAATGACACCACCTAATGTTTGTGGTAAAGTAGACCCTTATTTCCAAGGTTGAAAAAGCCAAAGGCAGCTGTGAAAAATAGATAGAGAAAGATAACTACCTGTTATTTTGCTTTAATAATGCTCCTATTAGGCTTGCCTTCAAGGGATCTTAGAAAGTTTCAGGTGCTGCAGGAAGAAATTGCCTGAATAATATAAGAAGAGTGCAATAGTCTTGATTACCTAAATATAAAGAACAAACAGTTTGATAATCTGGCCAGCAAGTTTTCTCTGCAGCTTCTTGCTGAACTGTTTTCTTTAGTGGTATTTATCAAGTGACGTATCTGCAGCCTGCGTACTTGGAGTGCATGTACATACAGACAGTGGTCTTGAGGGACAACAAAAATACACAGAACCTAAACATGCAATAATTTGAAAAGTAGGAAGAAAAAGTCAACACACAGCTGCTGTGATCTGGGAATAAACTAGCCCAGGCAAAATGATGCCTTTATCAACCTCTCTTGAGCTGAGACTTTAAGATGGAGCATTGCTAAAATGCTGTGCTAAGTTCACAAGTTTTTCCCACTTTCAGCACTGCAGTCATGCTCTCATCAATGACTTAATCTACAAAACTCAGGAAAGGATTTGTCAGGAAAAAAATAAAAGGAATAGTTGTACTTCTAAAGGCTCAGAAGTATATTTCTTTACTGTTTGGAGAGACAAAATAGCAAAGAGGTGAGAAATGAGCATAGTCCTTTGCTCACTTCACTCTTGAGCTCTTCTACTGCCTAACCGATAACTTGCATTTGAGATCACCAGGTTTGAGATCTGATGCCCCAGTGAGTAATTTCTCACTGCTGACTTGCATCCGATTTTGACCAGAGACGTGAAGGTGCAAAGCATTTCCTCCCATTAGTGCTGCCCTGGGACCTCCCACACTCATGCCAGATGACATCTGCAGTGTCCACAAACACAGCATTGAGAAGAAACCTGTGAATTAAATAGCAGGGTTAAGGTCTGTAACAATGTGATCTTCAACAGCACATAGAGGTGAAGTCTGGAATAAAACACTATAAATAGCGAAATGGGAAGACATTATGGCCTCCACATTAAAGACAAGAAACTGAAGTCCAGCAGGACTTACAAGACCCAAAAAGCCTATGGTTGAACCAGAAACTGAGCCCCAAATCTCATGAGTCCTGTGCCAGTGCCTTGGCCACAAATCTGTCCTTTTCTTCTCGTTTCCTTTTGTACTAGAAAGTATAGAAGGTGTTCAGATAGCTGATGGCAAATACAGAGCTTGAAGGTTGTGCCAATTAATACATAAAAAAGATTGAATTCAGTGCAGAGTTATAATTCACAAATGCCTGACCTGTTCCTAGACCCTATTCTCTTAAGACCAACACTCAGTAGTTGAGTGTTGCACAGTATAAAAGATCTCTAAGAACTGAAGAATTTCAATTAACTTTTAGAGAATGGGGGAACAGTACTTAAAAGAAATCAGATGTATTTGAATTGTTTCAAGGTTAGCATTCATTACCAAGAGGCTGTCTGGAATTTTTGTTCAGCATTTCCCTACAGTAACCAGGATTATTTTGCCAAGAGGCTGTTTCACTCATAGCTAAGAGCAGCAGAACTGAGGAGAAAGGGAGAAGCAAAGTTTAGAAGCCACAGTGCAATACTGACACAAAACTGAATTGCTTTCCTAAAGCTATTGGCAGAAATATCTACTAAGTGACTAAGTAGACTCTTGTTAAAAAGTGGTCACATTTTTAATGTTTAGTTTCTGTAGACAAATCTGACTACAACATGTATTTGATAGACTAGGCAGCTTTAAGCTTGTGACTTCTATCACTCATAGTGGTTAATACAGGGTAGCATTTGAGTAGTGTCCATCAAGAATACAAGCTGTATGAAAACTGGAGTAGATAGATATTACGTTATCATATTTTTCCAAGTAATAAGAGCATTCACTGTGTGCTGATTCTTTGTTTTAGTCTAAACTTCCTCTGTCGTCTGTTCTGAAAAAAATAATTTCTTTTTGGATCCAGGATTTCCCTACTTTCCCCAAACATTACTTCATTTATGTTTTCTCAGGTGACAACCCTACCTCCCTCTGGATTCTACTACCTTGGCCACCTACAACACACCGTACGTGCACTGTGCCTCATCTCTATTGCATTAATGACTCACCTGGTTAGCCAGATGCCTCCTTGGTACAAGGACAGTCTTAGACATCCCATACTCCATGACTGCATGACATACACAAATTACTGGATCCTTCTTTGGTGTTTAGATGCCTTTTGCACTGCTATAATCCATATTTGACTACTAAGAAAAAAGAGCAGGTGTACTGATTTCTTAATTCAGATTTCACACTCTTTGCAGCACTTTTCAGTGATGTTCAAAACAGAGACATGTGATTGCTCTGTGAATAAGTGAGCCCATGCTGGGAGAGGCTTTTCCCTTGACAGCGGCCATCTGGTCAATGAAAGACATTTGTGTATCTGTTCTTGGAGGCTCACTGAGCTCTCCTCTGTTTGCAGAGGATGCACCTAAATCATTGTCTCTGATAGAGCAATCCTTTTTATGTTTATCACAGTTGAGGGTTTTTTTTCCCCATTGATGAGTGTTTTTTCTGCAGTGAAGAACTGGCAATGACGCAGGCCTTCAGCTGTAACCCAGTGTGTAGCCCAATACTGCCAAAGTTACTTGCCTTCTAGATAAATGTAACTTATGCATATTTGGAACAATATCACATTGCAAGCTCCTATCCATAGCCATCTTCTACTATTTCCATATACGCTGTTCCTTACTAACAATCATATCCCATTTTATAAATCTACATGGCTCTATTTTTTTCCCTGTGCATCTGCCATTTCCCTAAGAAACTTCTCTCACTTAAGCCAAGTTCTCCACTTCTGTTCAAACTCTCTTTTCTCTGTCCTTTGCTAAATTTATCTTCTCTCCTAAAACCCCAATTGCAAGGCAAACAGAGTCTTTCTGTTAACCTCGGGTCAGATCTTTAGCTCATCATCACGAGTGAATTTGCTAACATCATTAATTAACCACTTATTTCTTCCTGTAAAGTATTTTTTATTGACACATTAAACAGCAACATGCTAAAGGAAGTCTCTGGATCCCATTTCTTAGCTTGCTATTGGACCATCCGTGTTTTCTTTCTGTCTGTGGGACATATTCTACATTCATGTGCACCCCACAAAATACCCCAAAGTGCCTCACATGTAGGCTCATTATGGGATGGTTGTTTATCAACTATTGTAGTACAAATTCATAATATAAAGTAAATGGTAAATCAATAAAAAATTCTCTTTGCATCCTCTGAAGCCAGGTTTTATCCATAGTGAAATCAGGCATTTGAATTGCTCATAATGAGTCTAGAATTAAGGCAATGCAGATAAGCTCATGTTAAGATAAGTGTTTCTGTTCTCTTTTCAGAAAATAATGAAACGTCTGATTAAGCGGTATGTACTGAAGGCTCAGGTTGACCGAGAAAATGATGAGGTCAATGAAGGCAAGTGGATTTTTGTAATAGACACAGACTAGAGCATGTAATGTTATTGCTAATGATGTGGCCAGTAAGACGGTTGATCTTAGACAACATCCTCTGTAGACAGAGAGCGTGCTTGTGCTCGCACTAAGGTGAACACCTTCTTGTGCACCTGGCAGAGCATGGGAAGCTGAAAAGTCCTTGATTTAGTACAAGCACTACTTAGCAACAACTAAAACATCAGTGTGTTATCAACATTATTCCCATACTAAATCCAAAACACAGCACTATACCAGCTACTAGGAAGAAAATTAACTCTATCCCAGCCAAAACCAGGACAGTATTATAGGATCTGTCTTTACATAATCCTGCTCCGCCCTATAGTTCTACCTCTCCTTGCTTTACAACACCCGTGATATTGCCAACACCTAACCTTGTCTTGGGATCTAAGAAAAGCAATTTCTGACTGTACTGCCCATGCCTGTCCCAAGGACATTTTTGGAACTGGATAAGGACTTGTATGGCCATGGTGTCATGTAGAATTTATATGCAGATGGAAAAGAACCTGCTTTTAACACCTCTTAACTGCTACCCTCCTGCAAATGCCCTGTGTAGGTGGAGATGAATATGTGGAGATGAGAAAAAAGATGAACTTTACATACATACTTGCTAGTGCTGTCAGTACCACTACTGCAAGCTAATTCAAATATTAAGTGCAGAAATGCAGGGACATCATACAGAGCTCCACACATATTCATGACCAGGGACACTGAAATTAATGCTTTCTCAGGTCTTAAAACCATAGAGATTAATTATTTGTTCAATATTGCTAACAAGAATATTTTCCTCCTTTTAGGAGAGCTTAAAGAGATTAAACAAGATATTTCTAGTCTCCGCTATGAACTCTTAGAGGAAAAGTCACAAGCTACTGGCGAGCTGGCAAGACTAATACAGCAGCTGAGCGACAAATTTGGGAAGAACTTAAATAAGGACATTTGATGCTGAACACAGAGGGAGGCAACTGGTTTTCTAAACATTATTCAGTCTCAACCAGCATCTTAGGAGGGCAAAAACCATGCAAAAGGTGGGTACCACACACTCAGCTTTTGCTAACTAGGAAGTACTGGTAGGAGCACTTTGCATTACTCCTGTGCTTAATGAGTTACCAGTTAAATCTTTTATGATACAAAAGTGACTTACTGGTAAAAATATATGCCCTTTGACATCAGAAATAGATGCGCCATAGGGAAGGCACCTCTAGTTAAAGGCAAAAAAGCCAGATCTTCACCCATCTGGCTCTAGTGAAGACAATGCAACTGTGCTCATTTATACCAACTGAGACTGTACTGATCAGAATTGGGTGAAGTCTGAAGAAAAAATGTGCCAAGCATATTCCTTGCAAAGTTTTAAAAATTCCTGTCCTTGGGTGTGTACTCTCCTTTTATGTTTACACGGGCATCCATGAAGATAACTTTGAACAGCACTGTGGTTAATGAGTTAATAAACAAATGAGAAATCATCTGCTGAAATGACCAAGGCAAAGTATGGCAGGTAGAGGTCATCTACCTTTTAGACTGGATGACAGCATTGGAAAAAATGGACCAAGCTTGTTGGGTAAAGCGTCCTTTCACCCCTCTGCTAGAACCTGATAAAGGGATTCCCAGCCAAAAACTCCTCTCCGCCTTTTCCAGCTATATTAGCTAGTCCACTAATGGATGTGGTCTCTTTGTACATGCCTAGCCTCTCTTTTACCCTTAGATGATTCCAGCTTCAACAACAGTGTACTGAAATATTCATAATGATGTGAAACGCACTTCCCAGGAATACCCAGAAATAATATATATTGTGCTAATGTGTTCAGTTCAAGGAACAACATTAATCCAGTGACAGCGATGCAACTCAGCTCAGCTTTCAGATTCCAGAGGTCCAACAGCAAGCCATAGGGTGACATAAATCGTGAAGAACATAGCCCAGTAGTTTCAAACCTTTAAATCAATATGAAAAGGCTTCAATTCCACTGAGAGCATTCTGACCAAAAAAAGGAAAAATCATTGTAGAAATTATTGTTTTATGTGTTTGGCTCTTACAGAGGATGAGGAAGGGATTAAAACTGTTTTAAAGGCTACAAGTACTTGGATTGCACTTTTACGACTGGAAAGTGATGAGTCTGCGCAACACAACCGCAAACTTGGATTGCTTGGGTTTTTGCGTTTAGCTACATGATTTCAGCTACTTAAAGCACACCTTACTACTTGGGAACCACTGAACTGTGCTGTTTGTTTACAAGAGACAACTATAAGATGAACATTACGTTTAGGTATCAGCTAAGAAAAACAAGCAGAACCAGAAGGTGACCTGTGATCAGTTCTTAAGTGCCAGATGAGAACACAGATAGCCTAATAGAGTAACAGTTATATTTGTACAAAAAAAAAAGTGTACTGTACGTAGATCTGTTTAGAGAAAAAGCAAAATACTGTATTTTTACCTTTAATAAGATTATCTTGTATACTGTAATATTTTTACCTAAAAATGGGGAAAAAAAATAAAATTACCTCATAATATTTTGTTGTACATTCAGTGAAATATTTGCCTGATCTTTTGACTATCCAATACATGCCTTTTTTTTTTTTTTTTTGCTTTTCTGCAGTGTGAACAATAAAATCATTATATGAAACAATTTTGCCATAGGAATTCTGAAGCCCAAGAGAGTCAAAAGGCAAAACTTGAACTACAATACATTTAAAAGGAATAAAACTAAGAAACTAAAGGTTCTGTGACCAACTATATTCTGCAAAAATGACTCCTCATTTGTGGTGCTTAATTTGCAATTACTGTATCCATATTAACGTGTTTGTAAAATTACCTTCTAAGAACAGAAATTCATCTCAGCTGGCTTCAGACAAGCATAGTGCTCGTATTGAGTGTGCAATCAAAAGTTAAATGGGTAACACTGAATTTTATAGGCTTTAGCTGGTAAGACAACTGAAATGGCATTTGCTCCTGGATTAGCCCATCTGGATAAGCAATACTTTACAGTGCTCCAGCACAGGGTAGCGTTTCCCGTAGCTGTGTTTGCAAATATGGGAAATCTGCTGCTTTTGCAAGCTAGCTCTTGCAACGTAGTGTCGTGATGAAACACTTAAATGTCAACCTTTAGCAGAGAGTGTCAAAATGCCAGTGTAAGACAGACACTGCAAGTAATAATATTTGCATGAATAACTCATTGTTTTGGGCTGTCTTCTGCTAATTAAAACAGAAAATGTTGCTGATTTCAAATATTCGGTTTTCCCCATAAGAAGGAATATTTTTCATGGCGATACTGCTTTTTTCCCACACCCCTTTCCAGCCACTGAGTAAAACTTTTTTCAGTTTTGGAAAACCAGCTCTGTTGCCACAGCACTGTCTTAAAAACTTGTTTCACTACAGTTCTGCACCTGGCTCCTAATCAAAGCATTGCTTTACGCTTCCCATTCAGTGTTTTAGCATCCCGTAGGAATTTAAGCAGAACTATTCTAGGTAGAACATATAATAAAGACTACAATTTCCATTTCTTATGGTATTGCTTATTAAGTCTCACGAGAAAGTTAAGTGGAAACTCTATGATACACTTTCATTTTGTATGTTTAGATGCAACTCAACAACAAGCCTGTCCTAAAGTCCAGCAACACCAACAGAAATGTTCTCCTACTGCTGAATATTGCAGTCACCACGTGTTCTGGTCAGCACAAGTAACACCCTGCTGTGAATAGCTTGTTGAATTATGTGGGCCCAAGCAGAGGTATAGCCGTGCCCCGTCAGCTACTGCCGCTGCTCTTATGGCATCTGTATAAGTGATGCAGTGCAGTCCTGCCACAGCTAGTTAGCATGCTGCCCTGCATTCAGGTATTTGCTATGAAAGAGCATAATATTTTCTAGGTCTGCAAAATGGGACTAAAAGGTGTATTAAAAAAATACTGTTAAAAATATCTGCTTCCTTCCCTTTTGCATTTACATTCCAGGAACTATCAAAGCACTAAGATTTCTTATATAAATATTCATGACAAGCAAAATCGCATTTCATCAGAGCGCTTTTCTCATCTGGTCCCAGAAACACACACAAGGAAGCAGCACACTACGTATTAATGTGCTATCAACAGAAAGGGTGTTAGATTCATGGTTTATTCTCCAAGCTCTGTTTATAGGAAATTAAAATTAAGAAGCCTTACTAAAAGAGCCCTGAGAGGACTGAGTTTGAAGAGGAAAAATCAAAGTAGGTGGGTCCCGGATCAGATTAGACCTGCGATGCGCAAGTCCCCTGTCCCACCTCCCATCCCCAGTGAGACCCCCATGGCCGGCCAGCGTCCCATCAACCCATCTGCTGGGTTAGATTTGATCCAGTCTGTAACAGCTCTTAATTCTGGCTTTGAAATATAGGTTTTAATATTCCTTGGACAAATCTGTACTGCGAAGGAATGGAACATTGCCCAAACTCTTTGTAGATAGAGAATTATGACTTTTTATGGGAAATAAGTTAGAGAAAGATGATACTAACCTGAAGTCATCCACACAAGGGTGAATATTCTCCAAGACATCCGTTCTAATTCTGCAAATCCCGCAGGCCAATCAAACTAGAACTTAAATAGACACCCTGAGGAAGATCAGAACAAAGCCATTAACTAGCCAATATTGATTTGCTGACTGCCCAAGTCTTCAGACAATTGTTTCACCCCTTGCAAACACCAAACCAGGTGGCTGCTGCTAACAGAAAGGCAGCAAACAGCAGAAACCATTAACATGCCTTTAAATAGCTGAACTGCAAGGTTTTAAACCAGGAACCCCTGCTGACCAGAGGTGCAAATCCTGAAACAAAGGAGCTGCCCGAGGGCACCTGGCATCCTGCCGCTGCTTTCAGCAGCATGGGATGGGCTTTGAAGCCCACAGGGTGGAGGTGATGTTTCATACATAGCTTTGCCCTCACAGCTGGACTTATTCTGCCCCTAAATTCACAGAGGATGACTGCCATCCCCAGTTCCCACAAAACACGGTTTAGAAGTAAATAAGAAGCAGAACAGTGTCATGAATAATGGCTTAGAAAGCTGCCTGCATCCTGACCAGAGCTCACAGCACATTAAATTGTCAGAGCTAGGCTTTATTTTTAATTAATCTACATGAGAAAAGCATTTCCAGCAGGCCAAAAGAAATTGCCCTAATTAAAAGATGTAAGAGATTAAGGATCACTCAGCAAGGACAAGCCAGGACACAGTCCATCACCAAAAACACAGGAGACTCCAACAGCGAGCAGCGTGGACAGGGTTTCAAATGCATCACCAGCTGACAGTGGATCTGCCTGCACCAGGGGCCAGGTCTGGGCTGCAGCCCTGGGCTGCAGGTGGGGAGGGAGGAGGCAGCACCCATCCTGCATCTTGGGCAGCACCCTGCTGCAGAGCACCTCTGCTGCCTCTCATGCCCCAAGCAGGAACCTGGCAAACAGGTTTTCCCTTCTTAATTTTGTCTGCATTTGCCTCCCTCGGTAACCAACAGGCAGGGAAAGGAAAGCCGTGTCTTCATAGCCAAGGCTACCAGGACTGTCCTGCAAGAGAGCTTTCAGATGGGGAAGATAGATGTTTCCTCTATCCAGACATCACAAATAGAATCATAGAATCGTTTAGGTTGGAAAAGACCTTTAAGATCATCCAGTCCAACCATTAACCTACACTACCAAGTCTACTCTAAACCAATCAAGGGTAGACTAGACTAAACCATGTCCCAAAGTGCCACCTCTGCCCGTTTTTTGAATGCCCCCAGGGATGGTGACTCCACCACCTCTCTGGGCAGCCTGTTCCAATTCTTGACCACCCTTTCCATGAAGAAATCTTTCCTAATATCCAACCTAAACCTCCCCTGGCACAGCTTGAGCCCATTTCCTCTCGTCCTATTGCTAACTACATGGGAGAAGAGACCAACACCCACCTCACTACACCCTCCTTTCAGGTAGTTGTAGAGAGCGATAAGGTCTCCCC